TTGCACTCCAGCCTGGGTAACAAGAGTGAAACTCCGTCTCAAAAAAAAAAAAAAAAAAAAGGTGTATATAATTTGGGCAGAGATGTTTTGGTGAAATTAAGAACACAGGCCATGTGCTCTGACTTTCGAGATGTGAATTTGCACTCTGGCAGTTAACCTCATAGTGCCTGTTTCATCACTGATAAAATGGAATAAAAATACTACAGGGAAAAAAACCAAAAAAACAAAACAAGAAAAAGAAAAAAAAAATACTACAGGGCAAGACTGTTAAAAGTGGCAAGTAAGACAATCTACGTAAAACATTCGATAGTATGTTTATTATGGTAATAAACATATTAATATGGTAGTATGGTATTACAATTAATATGGTATTACCATTAATATGGCAATATGGTATTGACCATGGGGTACCTGCCTGAGAGCAGCGGCCCCTAGTGGGACGTGAGAGCCAGGACCCTGTCATTAACTTAACCAATGAAAAGGGTAGGGCCATGGCCATAGATAACAGTGTTCAATACCATGGTAATATGGTATCACAATTAATATGGCATTACCGTTAATATGGCAATATGTATTAATAAATATATTAATATAGTAATATGGTTATTACCGAAGATCAACTCATGTCAGCCAATCTTTTTTTCTTTTAAAAAATTTTTCTATTATTTTTAATTTCAAAAATTCATAATAAAGGCCAGGCGCAGTGGCTCACACCTGTAACCCCAGGACTTTGGGAGGCCAAGGCGGGCAGATCATGAGGTCAGCAGTTCAAGACCAGCCTGGCCAACATGGTGACACCCCGTCTCTACTAAAGATGCAAAAAATTAGCTGGGCATGGTGGTGCCCGCCTGTAGTCCCAGCTACTCAGGAGGCTGAGGCAGGAGAATCACTTGAACCCAGGAGGTAGAGGTTGCAGTGAGCCGATATCGAGCCACTGCACTCCAGCCTGGGTGACAGGATGAGACTCCAGCTCCAAAAAAAAAAAAAATATTCATAATAGAGACAGGGTCTCACCACATTGCCCAGGCTGATCTTGAACTTCTGGGCTCAAGTGATCCTCCTGCCTCCCAGCCTCCCGAAGTGCTTTGGATTACAGTGGGAGTTACTGCATAGGGCCCTCTCCTTTTTTTTTCCTCATTGTAAAATTTGCCTTCCTTGAACCCGCTGTCTGAGTAATCAATTTTAGCCAAAAATAGCACTCGGAGTCTGATGTTAAGAATGAAATCATTTTGTTTAGCAAAATGAATACATTAGCAAAAGAGATTCTAAGAAATCGAGAGGAAATGTTCCCTTTCCATCAGCAACTAAGGGGACAGAGACGTTGTTCTGCATAAGAAAATGGAATTTAATGACTCTAATCTGAGAAGATGCCAATTTTGAGAACATTAGCAAGAGGCTGAATCTCGTGTTCCGTCGGATAAGGGAGATACACAGGAGATACTGTCATCTAATTCTTTTTCTATCTTGGAAATGTTACTCACACAGTCCATATTTGTTACCAAAGAATCTTGCTAATGTTACATGGAAAGTCTGTATCTGCAAGGCATCCAGTGATTAATGTTCACCAGTCATTACTGTAATGTCCCGGGAAAGAAATATTACAATTCTACAACCTAATTCTAAAGGGCTGTCTTTCTTGAAAATTGGTTGCCATAGGTTAGATTCAGATGATGTCTTTCTAATCCTATAAGGTAGAAATATATGAGAAATATTTCAAAGCAAGGCAAAGATCACTGGTATAACCCTTCTATTCCCAACCCTAACCCTCATTACACAGGTGTAATGAGACTCATGGCTGGGTTCGATTCCTTTTATAAATTAAGATACGTAGTCTTTGGCTCATTTACGATTAATTAGCAAGATCCAATACTCCAAAAACAAACAAAACACACACATGCTTAAAGGCAAAGAAGAGGACTAGAAACATAAAGACCATCATTTCAAATGTTCTTTTCTTGTTGTTGTTGTTGTTTTTAAGACACTGTCTCCCTTTGTCACCCGGGCTTACAGAGCATTGGTGTAATCACGGCTCACTGTATCCTGGAACTCCTAAACTCAAGTGATCAGACCACCTCAGCCTTCTGAGTAGCTGAAACTTTAAGTATGCGCCACCATGCCTGGCTAATTTTTTTTTTTTTTTTTTTTTTTGAGATAGAGTCTCCCTTTGTGGCCAGGCTGGAGTGCAGTGGCTCGATCTCAGCTCACTGCAACCTCCGCCTCCCGGGTTCAAGCGATTCTCCTGACTCACCTTCCTGAGTAGCTGGGACTACAGGCATGTGCCACCATGCCCAGGTAATTTTTTGTATTTTTAGTAGAGACGGGGTTTCACCATGTTGACCAGGATGGTCTCGATCTCTTGACCTCATGATCTGCCCGCCTCAGCCTCCCAACGTGCTGGGACAACAGGCGTGAGCCACAGCGCCTGGCCAATTTTTTTCAATTTTTTATTTTTGTAGAGACAGAGTCTCACTGTTGCCCAGGCTGGTCTCAAACTCCTGGCCTCAAGTGATCCTCCCACTCTGGCCTCCCAAAGTGCCACCCGTTTAAAATGTTAATCAGTGATTACCTCTGGATGGTACAGTTATGGGTAATTTGGAGATTCTTCTTTAAGGGCTTCTTAGGAACTGTGTTTTTTCCCCCTCATCAGGCCTGCATTAATCCTATTCAAAGAAATGTAACAAGACAGGAGCAGGGTTCAGCAGCTTGTGCCTGTAATTCCAGGAAGTACTTGAGAGGCTGAAGTGGGAAGATCACTTTAGCCCAGGAGATTGAGACTGCAGTGAACTATTATCAAGCCACTGCACTCAAGCATGAGCAACAGAACACAACCTTGTCTGTAAGAAAAAAAATCACGTAAAAAATGAAATATGACTGTACAACATTTAAATTTAAAAAAAGGACCATAGGCCGGGTGCAGTGGTTCACTCCTGTAATCCGAGCACTTTGGGAGGCTGAGGTGGGTGGATCATGAGATCATGAGGTCAAGAGATCGAGATCATCCTGGCCAACATGGTGAAACCCCATCTCTACTAAAAATACAAAAATTAACCGGGTGTGGTGGCATGCGCCTGTGGTCCCAGCTACTCGGGAGGATGAGGCAGAAGAATCGCTTGAACCCAGGAGACGGAGGTTGCAGTGAGCCGAGATTGTGCCACTGCACTCCAGCCTGGAGACAGAGCAAGACTCCATTTCAAAAAAAAACAAAACATAGTTATGGGGAGCTAATACATGGTTATCATGAAGGAAACTCTGAATGGATTGGCCTGACCTGTGTGAGGCCAAATCATTACCTCTGAAATATCTCAGTACGGTAATTGCTGGCACCTTACATGGCCAAGGGGAATGAAGGTTGCAGAAGGACTAAAATTGCTAATCGGCTGACACTGAGATAGGCAAGATTATCCTGAGTTACCTCAGTGGGCCCTCAAAATTAGAAGATGAACAGAAACATGTGGAGAGAGAAGTAGGGTCAGAGTGATGTGATGGAAAAAGGACTTGACCTGTCTTTGTAGGCTTTGATGATGGAAGAAGGGGTCACAAACCAAGGAATGTGGGCAGCATCTAGCAGCCAACAAAAGCAAGGACATAGAATACCTCCTATAGGATGGGCACAGTAGCTCACATCTGTAATCCCAGCACTTTGGAAGGCCAAGGCCAGCTAATTAATCACCTGAGGTCAGGAGTTTGAGAGCAGCCTGGACAACATGGCGAAACTCCATCTCTACTAAAAATACAAAAATTAGCCAGGCGTAGTGTTGCACATCTGTAGTCCCAGCTACTCAGGAGGCTGATACAGGAGAACTGCATGAACCCAGGAGGTGGAGGTTGCAGTGAACTGAGATCATGCCGTTGCACTCCAGCCTGAGCAAACTTCTGTCCAAAAAAAAAAAGAAAAGGTCCTGAGAGAGCTCTCACTTTCTTTCCTCCATGGAAGGACACAGCAAGATGGTGACAGTCTCCAACCTGGCAGAGGGCCCACATCAGAACCTGACTATACTGGCACCCTCTTCTTGGACTTCCAGAACTGTGAGCAATAAATGTTTGTTGTTTCACCCACCAGTCTACGGTTCTTCGTTATAGTAGACAGAACAGACTAAGGTAAGAATAAATGAAGGAGTCCGTGCAAAACAGAAGAAAGTATGGTACAAAAATGTGCTCAATAGATGTGGCCAGGCTACTCTCTTCCAAAAGATTCATGAATAATCCTAAATAATAAATTAAAATGTCATGTTGGATAAGGCATTTACAAAAGTCTTATTCAATGGAATTTCTAGGCAATTTAAGCATTTCCTTCATTTTCGGTTGTTAATAACTATTAGCAGAATTTAGTATCACGTCAGGTGCATTTTTCTTTCTTGCGGCTATCACTAAACTCGCTTCTTTGTATCTGTAGAGTGTTCCATGAAATGAATGTGGCATAGTTACTTAACCATTTTCATCATCCTGAACAGTAATTGTGGTCAAGGTAACACAGTTTTTGATGCTAGACCAATGGGTCCAAATGTCTTTGGGGCATGTATACCCTTCTTAGTGCCATGAAATTATACAGTATCTCCTTAGGGTGGTGGTGGTGGACCAATACACTAACGCTGATGATATACAGAATGTCCCTCGTAAAGTTTCAAGTGGAGTAAAGGAAGGCCCTCAGGTTAAGGATAACAGTTCTAGATCATTTGAGGTTGTGGTTCATTCTGTGAACTTGTAAACACCCACCCCAGTTACCTTCCTATGTACGTTGCTCCTGACGTACAGACATCCAGACTTAGCACATAACAGCAGCACTCACTGCACACTTACACTCCGGGGTGCTGCTCTGTGGGTTTTATGCATGTTAATGCATTTCACCCTCCTCACAAGCCTATCTTCAGAACGCTCAAAAAGCTAAGAGGCAGAAACAGGACTCAAATCTCGGTCACCTACATTTAATGTTTGGTCTTGTCTTATAAACACGTATCATTTAATTAAAAAAAAAAAGAAAGAAAGAAAGAAAGGAAATGTACCTGAACCTTTACGATGTTTAACGATTTGTCTTCCTCCTCGCGGACGCTTTTTCTGAAGGATGCTGGCCTGGGGGAAACAGAATTTCGGGAGGACAAGCAACGTTAGAAAACACCTGGCATACCTAATGAAACCAATGAGAAATACGAGGCCCCGAGATGGGGTTTCTGAGATTCCTGAAGAGCACGCTGAGGTTAATGAGATGATGAAGCGCGGAACCGCCTCTCTTCTCTCCCAGTCTCCCACACCAGGGACTTGTCCCTCTACAGGAGAAACAATACTCCTGAGGCCACCATCTCCTGTCACTCAGACGGCCTGCATGGACAGCACGTCTGGCTCTGAAAGTGTCCCCTCATGGCTGTTTCTCCCTTCTAGTTGGTGAATTTCCCAGTGGGGCTCAGGTGCTTTCGTCTCTCTGCAGCCCTTGTTCTCAGGCAGGTAGCGTTTGTTTAGAGGGTGAAGGCAGGGGCTGCAACAGCAACGCTGGAGCTACAGGTCACGCTGTCACACACTCCTGCGCCACCCAGAAGGCCCGATCACCCTCACCCAGTACAAGCCTGCACGGCTCAGCCTCACCACAGCACACGCTGTCCCGAGGCACATCTGCGTCCCTCACGCCCACTAATGCCCAGCACGGCCATGCTGCCGGCCCCGCCACCGCACACCGTGCAAAGGTGCATCTGTGGGTCCCGGCTACCGCCCTCACAGAGCCCCCAGAGTTCACCTCACAAAGTCCCGGGGACGCGCCAATGAGGTTTGTGTCGCCCCAAAGCCTCTGAAGCACCCCCGGGCCCCAGTTATGGGAAGAACCTGGCTGTGTTACCCCAAACTCTCTCTCCAGCAAGTGCGTCACCGTCAGAAGCCCGGTGCCCGTCTCTCCTGGGAGCCACGCGCGCCAATCTCACCTGCGCGGACTGGCAAAGAGGCCACGGCTGCGTCACCAGTGCAGACGCGCACCCATGTCACACTTAAGGGGACAGAGCCGCCGCGTCAGCCTCGCACTCCCACGCAAGTACGTCACACGCTTGGTCCTGCCACCAACCCCCACCGGAGGCCAGTGCGCAGGCGCACCCTGGACCCGGGCGGGGCCTCGCCCAGCACGCATGTGCACAGAGCCCGACACGTCTGTGCAAGTAGAGACCGCGACACATAGCGTGCCGAGACGCTGACGTGCATGTGTGGCACACAGACCCTGACAGGCGCGTGCGTACGCACAGACACCGACACGCATGTGTGCATGGGGCCCGACACGCATAGGCAGGCACAACAGAGCCCGACACGTATGTGCGCATGCACAGATGCTGACACACTGACACGTGTGCGCGTACCCCTCCCACCTCTTTCCCTCCTCCGCCTCTCCCGAAGCCGCAGATGTACCGGGTGGTCCCCCGATGGTATCCCTGGGTTCTTCCTGGGAATTGAATGCCCCGCTCAGGCCCGACCAAGCCGGGGGGCCTCGGGAGAGGGTGAAAAACTTGAGGACGCAGGACCGTGTCCGGGGAAACCAGAGACCCAAGCCCCATGTCCCAGCATGCAGCGCGGCATACTCCTGAATGGTCTCTGGGAAACGTAGTCCAGTTTGTTCCCAGGCAGGGGCCTCAGGGCTGTTCCCAGGCCAATGCTGGCGCAGGCAGCCCCATGCTAAGCCCTTCTTGCCCCCGCGGACGTCCCTTCCTGGCCCCTGCAGACGCACCTTCCCGGGTGGAGAGCGGCTGTGTCACCCTAGCTGGGACCTCCTCTGGTCTCTGAGCGGGGTGATGCTGGGCGAGCCATGACTGTTCTCAGAAGGGTGTCCTCTCCCAGCCCCTCTGGGGTGTCACCTGGATTTCTCTGCAGGCCGCAGGCTGCCCCGAGCTGCTATTCGGTATCCCTTCCTTGCTGGACTGTAAACAATGTGCAGGCAGCAGTTATGTTACGCTCTCATTCCAAGTACGAATGTCACAGGGTCTATAGGATGTTGCAGGTACTTAACCACAGTCCCAGTTCAACTCAAAATTCCACATTTTGGTATTTATGCCTAGGAAGTAGCTATAGCTGTACACAAATGTATGTTGAAGTATGTTCACGATATACTTTTTTCCTGTAAATGTTTTTCTCTTTTAATTAGATAGACTATAGATTCCTATGTAGTTAACAAGAAATAAAATGGAGAGATCTGTGTACCTTTCACCTGGTTACCCCAGCTGGTGACTGTAGTATATAATACCACAACCGGAACATTAACACTGTCGTAATCCACTGACATTACCCAGAATGTCCAGAGAATAATTTTTACAAATGAAAATCTTGCAGTGGGAGATAAAGGAAAATCAGATTAAATCATGGTGTGTTATACAATGACATAGAGTACATTTGCTACTAATACTGACTCATTAGTTGAGAAAGAAGTTCTGATGAAACAGTAAGTCAAAAAGGTAGGTGAAAAAGATACATATAATTTGAGCAGAGATGTTTTAGTGAAATTAACACAGGCTCTGTGGTCTGATTTGAGGCTGTTAATCTGAGTTTTGATAGTTATTAACTTCACAGTGTGGTAAAATTTCCTCACTGGTAAAAATGCAAGAAAAATAGAACAATGGGCCGGGCGCAGTGGCTCAAGCCTGTAATCCCAGCACTTTGGGAGGCCGAGGCGGGTAGATCACGAGGTCAAGAGATCGAGACCATCCCGGCCAACATGGTGAAACCCCATCTCTACTAAAAATACAAAAAATTAGCTGGGCATGGTGGCGTGTGCCTGTAATCCCAGCTACTCAGAAGGCTGAGGCAGGAGAATTGCCTGAACCCAGGAGGCGGAGGTTGCAGTGAGCCGAGATCGCGCCATTGCACTCCAGCCTGGGTAGCAAGAGCGAAACTCCGTCTCAGAAAAAAAAAAAAGAAAAGAAAAGAAAAATAGGACAATGTATGACTATCTCAACAGGATCATCTACATGAAACACACAGTAATATAATAATTAAGATAAACTAGCTGTTATTTTTAAAAACCAATAACATCTCAATCCATTTTCATAAAAGTAACAAGTTTGCTATTTCGTTTTAATTAGGGAGACAGAGATATGATATTTCCTAAAAAAAATTTAGTTTAAAGAATCTTAGCCCAGCACAGTGGCTCACACCTGTAATTCCAGCACTTTGGGAGGCCAAGGTGGGCGGATCACTTGAGGTCGCAAGTTCAGATCAGCCTGGCCTACATGGCGAAACCCCGTCTCTACTAAAGATACAAAAATAAGCTGGGCATAGTGGCGGGCAGCTGGAATCCCAACTGCTCAGGAGGCCGAGTCAGTAGAATCGCTTGAACCTGGGAGGCAGAGGTTGCAGTGGGCCAAGATTGCACCACTGTACTCCAGCCTGGGTGACAGAGTAAAACTCCATCTCAAAAACAAACAAACAAACAAAAAAAGTGAACATTTTAAACTAGTGCTATCTCATTCTATTTCTTATACCTTTGAAACGTTCCGGTCAATATTTGTTACTTGCACATATAACCTTGGGGATGTTTCCAAAGTCCATATTTGTAGGTTACCTAGTGACTATTTTCAATATTCATCAATGATTAATTTTTCTAAGCAAGGAAACATGACTGGCATCCCTCCTCTCCCCACATGAACACAGATATGTGACCCATGGTAGGGCTGGATTCCTTTTACAAACTATGATTTGGAGACTTTTTGCCTCATTTACATGATTAATAGGATCCAGTGATCGAGAAACACATACATGCTTAGAGGTGGAGAGGAAGACAGTAAACATACATACTAAATGTTAACAGTAATTATCTTTGGATGGTATAAATACGGGTAATTATGGCCGGTTGCAGGGGCTCAGCCTGTAATCCCAGCACTTTGAGAGGCAGAGGTGATCAGATGATCACTTGAGGCCAGGAGTTCGAGACCAGCCTTGGCCAACACGACGAAACCCCAACTCTACTAAAAAGACAAAAATTAGCTGAGTGTGGTGGTGGGCACCTGTAATCCCAACTACTCAGGAGGCTGAGGCAGGAGATCACTTGTAGCCAGGAGGTGAAGGGTGGAGTAAGCTGAGATCACTGCACTCCAGCTTGGGCGACAAGAGCAAAACTCTGTCTAAATAGATAAATAAGGGTAATTTTTACTTTCTTCTTTGTGTGCTGCTGCTGCTGCTTCTTTTTTTTTTTAAAGAGACGGAGTTTCACCGTGTTGATCAGGCTAGTCTTGAACTCCTAATCTTGTGATCCGCTCGCGTCAGCCTCCCAAAGTGCTGAGATTACAGGCATGAGCCACAGTGCCAGGCCTCTTTGTGTGCTTCTTAGGGGATAAATTTTCTTTTTTTGGTCACAGGCCTTCAATAATCCTATTATAAAATATATAATCTTAGGGAGCCCCAAATTAAAAAAAAAATAGATAAGGAAAAAGGAGCATTGTTATAGGGGAGTGGGTACATTCTAGTTATTAAGGAAAATTTGATGGACAGGAGAGCCCTGTGGTAGGCAGAATATATCCACATCCTACATCTGGAACCTGGGAATATATTAGGCAAGAGAAATAAGGTTGTAGATGGACTTAAGTTGCTAACTAGCCATCCTTAAGGACAGGGAGATTACCCTGAATTACCCAGGTGGGCCTGCTGCAATTACCAAGTGCTTTAAAAGTAGATGAGGGAGTTGTTGGGTGCAGTGGCTCATGCCTGTAATCCCAGCAGTTTGGGAGGCTGAGAAGGGCCTATCGCTTGAGGTCAGGGGTTCAAGACCAGCCTGGCCAACATGGTGAAACCCTGTCTCTACTAAAAATACAAAAATTAGCCAGCTTGATGGCAGGTGCCTGTAACCTCAGCTACTCAGGAGGCTGAGGCAGGAGAATCACTTGAACCTGGGAGGTGGAAATTGCAGTGAGCCAAGATCACACCATTGCACTCCAGCCTGAGGGACAAGAGTGAGACTTTGTCTCAAAAAAAAAAAAAAAAAAAAGGTAGATGAGGGAGTTCTGAAGCAGAGAAGGATGTGATGACAGAAACATGTATGGAATGAGGTGATACAATAGCAATTTGACTTGTCTTTTCTGGGTTTAAAGATGTAGGATGGGGCTGGGCACAGTGGC